AGTGACTGATTCACATTTTTTTCCAAGTGTAATGCACACTCCATCGCATTCAACCATTCTCCCAGTTGTCGGGTCTGCTTTCTGATATCCTGGAGGAAGATTTGGCCACCTCATTGGTTCTGCAGCTTCATCAGTTTCTCAGCATGTTCCCTCTCTTCATGAGATTGGTGAAGAAAATATTTGGCAAAGTTCTTCAAAGCCACATCATCGCGGTCAAAGTAGTAAGACAGGGACAGGTAGGCGTAGGAAGCGTAGAGCTCCAGGTTGATCTGGGGTTGATGGCGGCCTCTGCGTCCTGATGGTAGTTCTGGCGCCTGCGAGGTGGACGTCACGGTGGGCGGCTAAGGAGGGGCGGCTGCGCGGCGCTGGATGGGGGCCTTGGGGATGTCCGAGGCGCTGTGAGGAGGTGGCCGAAGGCTGGAGCAGGTGGCTGGGGGGATGGGCCAAGCGCTGGGTTCCATCCAAGCACTGTTGAAGCAGGAAACCACGGCCACTCTCCGTGAAGACTGTCTAGAGATGTGTTTTGAAGATGGAAACCACAAGACTTGCTGATAGATTTGCATGGCGGAGGGGGCAGGGGACTAGAGGACGGGGAGAAATCAAGGGTGGATGACATTCAAATGTCTGGCTTGAACAACTGGAGGAAAAGTCTGTTGGACAAAGGAGACAAGGAGAAGTAACTGCACTTGCTAAGTTTAAGGTGCCTACGTGTTTTTATGTGGAGCTGCCAGCTAGGCAGTCAGGCTCAGAGGAGATTTCCATGAGAGACACAGATTTGGGAGTTTTCAGTATAGAGATGACATTTAACTTAAATCCATGGGTAGAGATGAGATCATCTAGAAGGAGAATGTGGAAGAGAAGAGAGGAGGGCGTATCATGCCCTGAAGAAGTCCAACAGAGCTTGAGTAGAGGGGCCACATGTAGTGGAGACAGAAAAGGAGCTGCTGCAGAGCCCAGAGAAGACCAGTGAAGGTACTGATCCGGGCTCCAGGTGGACAGTTCCGAGGCGGGAAAGTGGTAACTGTGTCCATTGCTAACCCAGAACAGTGCCATTGGGTTTGGTAACAGGCCGTGAAGGACACTGAGAAGAGCGATGAGCAGACCGAGGAAAGAATGGGAGCTGAGGAAATGTTTCGTTCTGTGCTGCTCGCACCTTAAGATGTAGGTGAATTACCTGGAAATCTTGTCAAAATGTAGCTTCTACTCCAGGGTCTGAGATTCTGCATTTCTTTTCTTTTTCTTTCTTTTTTTTTCAGTCTTCACTCAAGGATATTTTTCCATTGATTTCCAGGTAGAATGGGAGGGAGGGAGGGAGAAACATCGATGTGGGAGAGACATGTCGATTGGTTGCCTCCTGCACCACCCCGACCAGGGCCAGGGATCAAACCTGCAACTCAGGTACATGCCTTGACTGGGAATAGAACCGATGACCCTTTAGTCCAAAGGCCTAAACTGGCCAGGGTAGATTCTGCATTTCTAAGAGCACCCAGATAATTCCAGTGCTGCTGGTCCATGGAATAGTGGTTTTCAAATTCCAGTGTGTATTAAAATTACCTGGCAGGTGTGACCCGGTGGTTGGGCATTGTTCTGGTCAAGGCATATGCCTGGGTTGTGGGCTCGATCCCTGGTAGGGGATGTGCAGGAGGCAGCCAGTCGATGTTTTGCTCTTACATCAATGTTTATCTCTCTCTCTCTCTCTTTTCTCTCTCTCTTCCTCCCTCCCTCTTTTCCTCCATTCTCCCTCCCTTCCTCTTCCTCTTTCTCTAAAAGTCAATAAAAGATAACTTAAAAAAAAAAATTGTGTGGAGAGCTTGATAAAATAGATTACTGGACCCACTTCAGACTTCCTGATATTCAGTAGGTCTGGAGTGGCTCCTGAAAATTTGCATTTCTTATAAGTTCATAGGTGATACCAAATCTGCTGGTCTAGGAACCACACTTGGAGAACCACTACAGAATTTTAACGGGGATGAGGTGTGTCAAGGGAGATTTTTAATTTGTTTTTTGAGGATGAGAAATAACTAGAGCATATTTATGCTGATGAGAATGATCCCTTAGATAGGGAGGAGCTGATGATGTAAGAGAGAAAGGGACCAAAGGAGTTAGTCCTTAAAAAGACGAGGGAGGGGGCTCTGAAGCATGTATTGAAGTCTTGGGTTTTATAAGAAAGGGCATGTGTCCTTGGTTACAGCGAGAGAGAAAACAGAGGAGATGGCTCCACAGCAGAGGGGTTTGCAGAGTTAATGGTAGGCAGATGGAGCTCCCCATTGATGGCTTCTGATTCCTAAGTGAACACAGGGCTACTCCTGAGGAAGGGGGTGAACTGGAGGTTTGAGGAAGAGATGGTGTCAAATGATGACTAAATAGGAAAATCAACTTTTTTTTTTTTATCCTCACCTGAGGACATTTTTCCATTTTTTGTTCAGATAGAGTGGGAGGGAGAGAGAGGATGAGAGAGAGAGAGAAACATCGATGTGAAAGGGACACATCGAGTGGCTGCCACCCGCACAACCGACCAGGGCCGGGGACAAACTACAACCGAGGTACATGCCCCTAGCGGCACCGAACCCGGGTCTCTCTGGACCGCAGGCCAACACTCTAACTGCTGAGCCAAACCGGCCAGGGCGGAAAATCAACTTTAAGAAAAAAAAAAATGGTAGTTACTGAGAGCCTTATTTGAGGTTAAGGTCAGAAATTAAGAGCGAAACTAATCTATGATTGTGCATTCTGTTTTTTCCCTCTATCGTAGTTAGTTATTGGATTCAGACATGGAGAATTAATTAGTGGTGATCTCCTAGAGTTAGACTTTATCTAGGTGAGTATATCCAGGGAGGGGGGAGAGAAGAGAGCTTAGAGAAGCTGTACAAGGGGACTTAGACGTCACTAAGCCAGGCAAGAAGGGACATGAAAACAGGAGAGGGCCGCAGGGTAGAAATCAGTGACGATGAGGAGGTCAGTGAATTATCACAGTCAGGGTACAAGTAAACTAAAACTAAAAGGCACAGGTTTGTGATGGAAATCCAGGGCTGGCATTCAACATTTGGTAGGCAGGGCAGTTCTTGGTGGTGACAGAGGTCCAGAGAGTGAGGTGGAGTTTCCGGGAGAAGTCAGGAAACTGAGAGGCCAGGGTGTTGGATGTACCCTTCACCTGGATGTCGACGTTGCCAAGAATGATGACCGAAGTTGGGAGTGGAGAAAGACTTTGAGATGGGAACTAACTTTTCAATGAACAATGGAAAATTCCAGGTCAGTGGATAACAGCAGCAGAGAGGGAGAGAGGGTTGTGAGCAGGGACCTTTGTAAAACAAAGGGAGAGTTATGGTCTGGAAGTGGTCATGCTTGGCAAGGTGGACATCTACCCTACCTGCTAGCCTTGAGGCACTTGGGATATGAGCGGGAGAATGCCCTCTGGATGCCAGGCTATAAAAGAAGTCGTGTCTTCAGGGAACAGCTTAGTTTCATTCAGTTAAAGCAAAGGGATGGAGGGGAGGTGCAGAAAAGCAGTTGACGGTGTCCAGGAGTTTATTACACACAGGGAGCTGAAGAGCAAGAACATAGTGTAAGGATTTGGGCGTGAAGGTAGGGAACTTCTGGAGTAAGTGCAGAGTCATATGAGAAAGAGAGTTTGTTGATTATAGATGACCTAAGTTTTGGATGCCCATTAGAGATGGACAAACAGGGTGAGGCGTGATGGAATCAACGGTCTCTAAAAGTACTGAGCACACACGTTAAGTGTGTTGCTGCCGGTGTCCCCCGTGAGCAGCCTCTGCCTGCAGCTCTGACCTCATCCTCTTCCACTCAGCTTGCTCCTTGTGCTCACCTTGGTCTCCGCCCTTCCGCATGCTGCCGTTTTTCTGCCTGTGTCTTTCCCCTTCGTGTGCACGTGCTCTTCTGAGAGGCAGCATAGCCAAGTGGCTAGTAGCATGAGCTCTGGACCCAGATGTCTGCGCTGCTGCTTTCTAGCTTGTGATGTTGGGCAGATTATTTAACCTCTCAGGGCTCCAGTTTTCTCATCTGTAAACGGGGAAATGATAATAGTACTTACTTCATAGGGATGTTTGGGGATTAAAAGAGTCCATTTTAAAAATTAATGTAAAAAGCTTAGAACAGTTCCTGGTATGCAGTAAAGACTCAATAAGTTAATATTATTTTTAAAAAATGCTTGATGCTCTTTTTCCCTATTTCTTTACATGGTTGGTACTTTCTCATCATTCAGTTGTCTCAGCTCAAATGTCCTTTCTCAGACACCCTAGCTAAAGCAGTGTAACACCATTGGTTTTCTTCACTCTGTATTTCACTATCCTGTTTTATGTAGTCATAGCATTCATCACTATTTGAAATTATTTTATTATTCTGTTTTTCTCCTCTCCCCCCTTCCCGTGAGAGCAGGGATTTGTTGACTCATTCTCTACTGTATCTCAGCTTCTGAAAAGTGTCAAATACTTCAAAGGTGCTCAAGAAATGTTTGCACCAACCTGTCCTAAAAACATGGGGGTTTCTAAGGCCTCTCCTCTGACCAGGCAGCATATGGTGGCAAAGCAACAGTGAGACTTAGGCAGAGAAGACTGATGGAGTCTTCCTCCCTATATATCAATCTGTTGGCTCCTCCAGATCAGGTGGCTTCCTTTTTTGTGTTATTGGGACACAGCCACATCCATTTTTAAATTTATTATCTGGTTGCTTTTCAGCTACAACCACAGAGTTGAGTAGTTGTGACGGAGACCCTAAGCCTCACGTCTAAAATACTTACTGTCAGCCCTTCACGGGAAAATTTGCTGACCTCTAATTTAGAGGCATAGAAAACAAGGCTAGAAGGAAACACCAACAATAATAACAGATTTGTTTGGGTAATTGAATTATAGGTCATTTCAGTTTTATCTTTACACTTTGTGTGTGTGTTTTGTTATAGACTGATTTGGAAATGAAATAGCCTTGTAAATGCTCATTTTGAAGTATTTAGAGCACATTTAATGATGGCTTTTTGTTTTGTTTTTCTTTAGTGCTGCTTTTGACACAAAAACTGGGTTACGTGTGGCCGTGAAGAAGCTCTCCAGACCGTTTCAGTCCATTATTCACGCCAAAAGGACCTACCGAGAACTGCGGCTGCTCAAACACATGAAACATGAAAATGTAAGTTCTTCACTCGAGGAAGAATACATTCTGCTCTGAAGAGACCAGAAAAATTGTTTTAATTACTGCAAATGGGAATACATTAGAGTGCAAAGGACTTTGGACCATGCTTCTTTTTAAAAAAATTTTTTTAATATGTTTTATTAATTTTTAGAGAGGGGGAAGGGAAGAGGGAGAGGGAGAGAGAGACATCAACCTGTTGCCTCCTGTATGCAACCTGACCAGGGATCAAAACCACAACCTGGGCATGTGTCCTGACCAGGAATCAAACCTGAGACCTTTCAGTGCCTGGGAGGATGCTCCAACCAGCTGAGCCACAGCGGCCAGGGCTGCACCATGCTTCTTATACTTGGTGTTAGCAGCCACTGCATTATGTCAGGTAGCTATGAAATTGGTGCAGCCCCCTGGAGTTTGAGTTATACTCAAAGCTTTTTAGGCAAACATTAAAAAATATTTTTAATAAAAAAGGATATATCATGAGGTGTAACAATTCATAAGGATTTGTTGTGGTTGTTAATCCTCACCTGAGGATAGTTTTTCTATTGATTTTTAAAGAGAGGAAGGGAGGGAGAGTGAGGAGAGAGAGAGAGAGAGAGAGAGAGAGAGAGAGAGAGAAACATAGATGTGATAGAGACACATCGATTGGTTGCCTCCCGCATGTGTACTGACCGGGGCCAGGGATCCAACCTGTGACCCTTTGGTGCTCGGGCTGATGCTCCAACCACTGAGCCACACCAGCCAGGGCAGGATATTTTCCTTTTTTTCAAAAAATATAATTTATTGATTTTTAGAGGGAGAGAAACATCGATATGAGGGTGCGACATCAATCAGCTGCCTCCTGCACGCCCCCCACCGGGGATTGAGCCTGAAACCCAGGCATGTGCCCTACCGGAGTCAGACCGGCAACCTTTTGGTACATGTAATGATGCTCAACCAACTGAGTCACGCTGGCCAGAGCCATAAGGATTTTTTTTTTTTTTTTATCCTCACCCGAGGATATTTTTTCCATTTTTTTGTACAGATAGAGTGGGAGGGAGAGAGAGGAAGGGAGAGAGAGAGAGAAACATCGACGTGAAGGGACACATCGAGCGGCTGCCACCCGCACGACCAACCAGGGCAGGGGACAAACTGCAACCAAAGTACGTGCCCTTAGCGGGAACCGAACCCGGGTCTCTCAGGACCGCAGGCCGACGCTCTAACCGCTGAGCCAAATTGGCCAGGGCCATAAGGATTTTTAAGAGAATATATTAGAAGGAAATTTTGTATTTTTTTAAAAAATATGTTTTCATTGATTTTTTTTTAGAGAGAGAGGAAGGGAGAGAGAGATAGGAACATCAATGTGAGAGCGATACATTGATTGGCTGCCTCCTGCATGCCCCTCACCAGGGATCAAGCCTACAACCCGGGATGTACCCGACCAGGAATGGAGGACCTCTCAGGCCATGGGATGGCTCTCAATGCTCAATCCACTGAGCTACACCAGCTGGGCAAAATTTTGTATTTACCTGGCTTACTTAAAGCTATCTTACCAGACTATGGGGAGTCCATGGCTATTTTGTGTTGTTGTGGATTATTTCAGTGCAGGATTTTCATGAAGAGTGCCTTAGGCTCACTGAAAGTTCTGTCAGAGATGGCTATATTGTACAAATAATATTATAACTTATTTTTAATCTGCAATAACAGCTTTACCAGATTTGAGTATTTTAATAAATGTTACAGGCGTTGTTTAAATTAAATAACTTTTTCTTTTCTATCAATTTGGAAGTTTGAGAACAATGCCATCCTGCAAAGGAGTGCATAAAAGTTCTGATATGGCCCGGCCGTTGTGCCTCAGTGGTTGAGCGTCGACCATGCACCAAGAGGTTGCCGGTTCTATTCCCAGTCAGGGCACATGCCCAGGTTTGGGCCCAGTCCCCAGTGAGCAGTGTGCAGGAGGTGGCCAGTCGATGTTCTCTGTCATCGATGTTTCTCTCTCTCTCTTCCTCTCCCCTCCTCTCTCTCTAAAATCAATAAAAGAAAAAGAAATTGTTTTTAAAGTTCTAATATGGAAAATAAATGGATGCAATTGGATTATTAACTGAAAGTGAAAAAAAAAGCAATTGATCAAGGACACTTATTTTTCTCTATTTCAAAAGCAAGTTAAAAAGAATTTATTTGATTGCTATATGAAAAGAGCTGTAAATGTTGTGGCATTGTAGAAACAATGACCATAGAGATTTTAGAGTCATTGACCCTATTGATTGTTACTCTGGAGAAAAAAATTCAAATCTGCCCTGGCCGGTTTGGCTCAGCAGTTAGAGTGTCAGCCTGTGATCCAGAGAAACCCAGGTTCAGTTCCCACTAAGGGCACATGCCTCGGTTACAGTTTGTCCCCGGCCCTGGTTGGTTCATGTGGGAGGCAGCCACCCAATGTGTCCCTTTCATGTCAGTGTTTCTCTCTCTCTCTCTCTCTTCCTCTCTCTCCTTCCCACTCTATCTGAACAAAAAAATGGGAAAATGTCCTCGGGTGAGGATAAAAAAAAAAATTCAAATCTAAATTTATTGTTTGGTTATTCAGGCTTTTTCTCTTTTAATAATTGAACTTTTTTTTTTTTTTTGGTCTATAGTAAGAAAAAATCCTGATAAGTGATACTTTATTAATATATATTTGTTTCACAAAGTATAAATTTCTTCTAAATTGAGAGCATTGAGATTTAAATTTGGAATTGGATTATGAATGCCGTATAATCACAGCTGCAGCTGCTTATTTATCTTCATGTTTTATTTTAACTGCATCCTACTGAGAAAATCCTGTTTTCTACAGGTGACTTTTATTTCCAGGTATAATTTTATAGGTGCATCCATGTGCAAACCTGAGTTTTTAAAAATGTCATTGCAGAGCTGCAGCCTTTCTAGCCAGTGACTTGTTTACAGGAAGCTGAGATTGTGGGAAAAGCTGGCAAAAGAAGCTTTAATGCAAGGTCTGCATAAAATCAAGGTGGCCTGGCAGCTTAACTGAAATGTTTATGGTTTTGTTTTGTTTTTTAATCCTCACCCAAGGATATTTTTCCATTGATTTTTAGAGAGAGTAGAAGGGAAGGAGGGAGGGAGAGAGAGAGAGAGAGAGAGAGAGAGAGAGAGAGAGAGAGAGATGTGAGAGAAACACATCAATTGGTTGCCTCCCGCAAGACCACAACCGGGGCTGGGGATCAAACCTGCAACCTAGTTACCTGCCCTTGACCAGGATGTTGAACCAAACCGGCCAGGGCTACATTTGGTTTTAGACACAGCTGAGTGTGTGTGCTTTTTCATTACACATTAATAAATGTGACAGCAACATTATTATGGCTTTTTAAATGTAAAGACTACTCTGAAAATTGAATGCAAGCCAGACATGGCTATAGAATTCCAAAGGACCTCCAGGAGGCCTCAGGAACATCTGGTTTATCAGCGCTATGCTTTACTGTTTTGCTTTTCTTTGTAGACAAATTAAGCCAACATTAGAGCATGAATTATTTTAGGTTATCCAAATCTATGCCTTGGCTTTTCTAGTGATCATGCACAGGAATCTTTCTTACTTTTTTATGCTTTAATTTTCCCTAATGAGATCATTTGAAATGTGTCATATGATATTGGGCTGGTTACATTTGGGGCATTTTGTAATTGTAGAAATGAGGAGGCCACAGTGATGGATACAATTTTTCTAATTTAGGAAAGGTTACAAGACTCCTTTTAAAAAGAAGGATGACAATATTAGAGAAACAGAGTTTAATTTACATAAATTATTTTATAAGCAGCTTGCTTAATAGCAGTCTATCATTTTTATATTTAGATGTTTAGATTTTAGCAGGATCAGTGTAGAGGGTCACCTATACTAAGTTATTGGTGATTTGTTGTTTGAACAAAAGAAAGCACATGGCTAAATGTTTCATAGTTCTCTGTTATGTTGGCAAATGTGTGAAGGGGGAATGGGAAGAGACCAAAAGACTTTGCCTCCCTGGCTGGGATGGCTCAGTTGGTTTGAGTGTTGTCCTGTACACCAAAAAGTGGTGGGCAGGGCGTATACCCAGGTTTCGAGTTCAATCCCTGTTTGGGTTGTGTGCGGGATTCAACCAATCAATGCCCCCCCCCCCCTTCTCTCTCTAAAATTAACTTAAAAAAAAAAAAAAAAAAAAAAGACTTTGACTCAGTGTAGAAATGTTCCTGAATTTCAGTGTAGTTTACAAACAGTAGTTAGGTGCTTACAGTGTATAAGTAGTTTTACCTAGTAAAGAACCAAGACTTCCAAATAAGCTTAATTGAGGGTTTTAAAAGGAATTCCTCACCTCCATCTTCTTCTCCCTCTTTCTTTCTTCCTTTTTTTCTTTCTTTCTTTCTTTCTTTCTTTCTTTCTTTCTTTCTTTCTTTCTTTCTTTCTCTCTCTCTCCTTCCTTCCTTCCTTCCTTCCTTCCTTCCTTCCTTCCTTCCTTCCTTCCTTCCTTTTCTTTCTTTTTGCCTGTTTGGGGCCACCATCTACTTTTTAGGTAGCCACCAGGCCTCCAGAGCCAATAGCAATAACAACAGCTTAAAACTCTTGAAAATTCTAAGTAAATATTGGTAACAAAAAGAATTTTTATGTGCCAGAATGCACATGTGTCTTTACACACAAATGCCTCTGACCCACAATCCATACCTAGTTTATCTTAAGTTATTTCTTTCTTTAGTGATAATGAGTGACTGGGATACATTTATCAGGTGGGTAACAAGAGCTAGGGGATGTTTTCTGTGACTGTAAGTTACTCTGAACAAAGTTAGCTGGCTCATTCTTGATTGAACTTGTGACCTTGATCTCATTAACACCTGCTCTAAGGAAAGATTAAAGGGAAGCAGCCTACCAGCTGCATCCTTTTGCTATCTGGGTGGGTATTACAAAGACTGTTCACTCAGGGACCTGGAGATGTGTACACTTTGAAATTTAAAAATGATTAAGGGAATTCTTTCATAAATTTCATCCTGGAGCCTTAGATGTTACCTTACCATGGTAGACCAAGTGGTTTCGTGTGCTTGTGTTAAATACAGTAAATACTATCTTTGATTGATTACCAAGTTGAAGTGTTTGGTTTTTTTTAGTGTGTGCTAATTTAATTAAAATGCATTACTTCTGTCTGTCAGCTTTTGGACCACTGTAGGGCAGTCAGAGATATTTGCTCATTATTTGTATTATAAATGTATTTTCTAAAAATTTGAATCCTGGGCTACTTTTAGGTTTCATATAATGGCAGAAAGAGTAAGAAAATAGGCCAAAAACATGACTTGAATTAAAAGGAAATTTCCACTTAGAAATGAGAAATGAGTAGATTCTGGAATATTCCTAAAATGTTCTCCAGATCTATTTTAATGCTAGGAAACATTTCTCTACAGTATTTTCCTTATGATTAACATTTAAAAATATGATTAATAGAGAAAGGATATTTTATAAAAGGCCACAAGAAATTTAAAATACATTGCTGTAACAGGTAGTTCTAATCTCATAAAATGTGTCTCATTTAAGGAAATTAAAATTTGATAGGGCATTTACTAATATGCTTTTCTCTATTTTTTTCCAGATAAATTTATTATACTTCTTGCAGCCAAGCTTTTTAATCATTTTAATAGTTTAGTTTAGCTGTATATCTCAATTCTTTTGCTGGAAGTAGCTGCTTCAAAGTTTGTTTCTGTGATTTGTATTTTGTAATTTTTTAAAAAACTCTAAGGATGTGAATGTCACTAGTCTTCCCCAGAATACTGTGAAGATAAGCAATGCTATTCCCATTTTTTTCATGTGAGGAAAATGAGGCTCAGAGAGGATACCTTTCTTTCATTAATTTAACAAATACTAATTGAACCACAGTATACCAATGCTGGGGTTATTGGACTGAAAAAGGCATAAGCTCATGGATATGAGAAATCACAACTGATTGTGGGGTTTAAACTTACAGCTGTTTGATTCCAAAATGCCTGTTGTGTTTTCAAATTGAAATTGGAGCTTTTATTTGAAAATGTTATGCCCTGGCTGGTTTGGCCCAACTGTTAGAGCATCGGCAGGTGGACCAAAGAGTCTCAGGTTCGATTCTGGTCAAGGTCATGTACCTTAGTTGTGGTTCGGTCCCCAGCCCTGGTTGGGGTCATGCAGGAGGCAACGAGGCAATGTGTCTCTCTCACATTGGTTTCTCTCTCCCTCTCCCCCTCTCCCTCTCCCCCTTCTCCTCCCTCCCTCCCTCACACTCTATCTGAAGATAAATCCTCACCTGAGGATATTTTTCCATTTAAAAAAAAGAAAATAGAAAATGTTTTGACTTTTTTGTTTAACTGTTCTTGAGGTAACTATTGCATGAATAATCCTGTGTAAATCTGATTTCTAGTAGTTTACTTTTGTTTTGACCTGAGGATGATTTTTCACAATCACAATCAAAATAGAGTAAAACTGTGTAAATTGTTTTCAACTTTTCTTGTATTGAGGAATTTGGGCATCTCAGATAAAAAGAATCAGTGATTAGAAAACATTGGAATAGGTGAATAAAATTGGCTTCTAGCTCTCAGCTACCTAAAATACAAGTGGGTGTAGGGGAGAGTAATCAAAAGACCAGAGAGTTTAAGGCAGGAGTGTATCAAACTCAAGAAAAATAATTGCACCCTGGCCAGTTTGGCTCAGTGGTTAGAGCATTGGCCTGCGGACTGGAGAGTCCCGTGTTCGGTTCCTGCTAGGGACACGTACCAAAAGAAAAAAAGAAGAAGAAGAATTGTGGTTTAGATGGAGAAAGTAAAAGAAAATTATTTCACTTAAATTTAAAGCACTTTTTAAAGCTGTTACAAAGGTCATGGATACACTATTGGTGGGAATGTAAGTTGGCCTCACCTTTATGGAGGAGAATTTGATAAGATTAAGATTCTCAAATATATTGGTGTCCTTTCGTCCTGTAATTCTATTTCTTGAAATTTGTTCTCTGGAAGAAAATACAAGATGTGCAAAATACACACACACTCTCTCACACACACACACACACTCACACACACACACTTGCAGTGTTCCTTAAATGTCCAAAGACAGGAAATTGGTTAAATTATGATATGTATGTACAAATGATAGAGCCTATTACTGAAAAATATATAAGGACATGAAAACAGTCATATATTAAATGCTTTCTCATGATGCTCTTTTGAGCATTGGTATATTTTACTCTTAGAGCTGTTTGTCTGACTGGGCTGGTTGGAGCAGCTGAGGCCACAGTCATGGGTCAGTTTTAATGAAGGCCATTGGCTTTCGTTTGTTTTATTTCCAGATACCCTTAAATCTGGCTGGGCACATTACATGATCTTGTTCTTGTTTGCCTTCTCACTGCCTAACTCTGTAGAAATGAGTGGTCTGGGTTTTAGGGGAAGAGAGGGGAGCATATGTAGATTAATCAATATAAATCCTTGACTAGAAAAATTGCTCAAAGACCATGGATTACTGAGTATTAAGTAGTTCTTTACTTTTATCTTTGTATAAAGATAGCTTTTTTCATTTTATTTAAAAAAAAATTTTTTTCCCTTATTGATTTTAGAAAGAGACAAAGGAAGGGGGGGAGAGAGATAGAAACATCGACGAGAGAACATTGACTGGCCGCCTCCTGCATGCCCCCTACTGGGGATGGGACCCACACAACCTGGGCATGTGTCCTGACCAGGAATCGAACCGGCCACCTCTTGGTGCATGGGTCAACGCTCAACAACTGAGCCACACCGGCCAGACCTTTTTTCATTTGCAAATAGTTGTATCTAAATACTTGATAATGATTAAGAAAATTATCTTAATATTAAAAATAATATAAGAATAATACCAAAAATATACTGAGAATATTTGGGGATTTTTTTAAATGTCAGTTTTGAAGACTACATAGTAACAAAAAATTTTCATGGAATAATAATATATTTTTAAAAGAAAAGTGATACTACAATAACAATTATAGGAGTGTGACTTCTGTTTCTTAATCAAACTATTAATGCATATGTTAAGCCAAGAGCCTTAAACCTTTTTGCTTCCTGATAAACTAGCTATATATGAGCAAATCCTAAGGAGTTGAATATTTTTAATAGTAAACTAGATTTTTTGAAAGGTAATATTAATGAATAAAAACAAAAGCATAATTTTGGTTGAAAATAAGTTATACAGTATATATGTGATTTTGTGATGTTGTTGAACTCAGTGGGATTTGGAATTAGTTCATTGTCATAGACCTGATGGGTACTGTAGTAAATTGAGTATTTATTTACTGTTGGATTTTTATGTTTTCTTATAGGTGATTGGTCTGTTGGATGTTTTTACACCTGCAAGGTCCCTGGAGGAATTCAATGATGTGTGAGTAAATCTTTTGCATTTGTGATTAGCAACCCATTTCTATTCCTGAACCACTTTTCAGTATAGAGATATCATTGTTCTATCATTCAATTCTTCTGGGGTATGAGATGGACACAGAAAATGTGTATTATGGGTGGTGAATGTATTTTCATCATTTCACACATACTGTTCTCTGTTTGGAGAGTCAGTGGTGGGTGCTTGCAAGAGTTCAGTAGAGAAGAGTATAGAGTATAGAGAGTTTGGACTATGATTTTCGTTCTGAAATTGCCTGACCAGCTTCTACATCAAGAAATGTAATGGAGGCCTCGTTCCATGTAGGTTCTTTCTTCTCTTTTATCCCACTTGTGTGTGGGAATTGGTACTAGAACTGCATGCTGATCCTTGAAGTGTTGGATTTCTGCACTGGGACAAGGGCTAGGCCTCACTTGTTGACAAAGCTGATGAATAGTGCTAATTCTCCAGTGCAAAGATCCTGTGGTGGAAGACTGCATGATGTATTGGAATTGCAGCAAGGTGGCCTGTGTGGCTGGAGTAAGGCTAGTGTGGAGCTGAGTGAGAGCAGGGGAGAGAAGTCGATGATGAAGTGAGAGTGATAACTGGGGACAGGGTACTGGATTATGTAGGTCTTATCTGCAGTTGAAGGGATTTTTGCCTTTTGATGAGAGGAGAGACATGAGAATAGACTGTGTAGTACGTCCCAAGGATCATTGAATGTATATATTTCAGAGGCTTGTGGTAACAAGTTGTCAGTCCCTGTGGTTATTTTAAATAGTTTCTTTAAATATAAAAATGTTTTGCCTTTTCATAATTGCTTTATCAGGCTGACAGTAGGAGAGGCATCAATCTGTAGATACGAGTTTTTTCCTACATAGGTTCTTTCTGACTGTATTATGCTTTAAAGGTGGTAGGACTCTGGCTGGTGTTAATCAGGGGTTAGAGCATCAGCCCCATGCTCAGTTTGATTCCTGGTTCAAGGGTACGTAGCTGGGTTGCAGGTTTGATCCCCACCCCACTCAGGGTGCATGTGGGAGGCAACCAATCGATGTCTCTCTCTGTCTCTCCCTCTTCCTCTCTCTCTCTCTTTCCTTCCCTTCCCTCCACTTTCTAAAAATCAATAGAAAAAATGTCCTCAGATAAGGATTAACAAAAAATAAAATAAATAAAAAATAAAGGTGGGAGGGTGGGAGTCTTGGCATTTGGGTGTTACCCAAAAAGTACTAAATGAAACTCTAGAATAAGGTGCTGTCTACAGTACTGAAAACTACTTATTGTAGACATTTGCCTTTTTGCTGGTACAGTACATTTTAGTTGTAAGTCATTTTAAGAAATGGTGGTTTTTTATAATTTGATTAAATTTAAAGGAGACCATTTTCACAAGAAAAGTGAAAAACAAGATTTGTATTAGCCCATGAAATCATCTTTTCTGCCTTTGGCCTAATAAAGTCCTATTCATTTAACTCCTTTTTAAAGATGGGAGAACTGAATGTAGATAGCTGTCCAAATGTCAAGTCAAACCTTCATTAATTTATTTGAGATATTATGAACACTGACTGTAATAGGCATGCCTTTACAAAAAATATAATTAAATTTGCTTTCTAGAGACAAATACTATAGAAACTATGTGGCTATCTACTAATGCTCCTTTTGGAATTTATCTAAAATGTACATATCTACATTTTCCTTCCACTCCCGTGTTCACTCCTTTTAAAAGTTGGCATGTCTTTCATAAGCATTCAGTAACTGCACGATGCTTGCTTTTGTCTACTGTTGCAAGATTTATTTTGGAAACCTTTCTGTAGGTGATGAGTTGGAATTTGACAATTGGTTGTCATGGATTAGTCTTTAAGCTTCATGGAAACAACATACAGTGATTTCGTTAGTTCCTGCAAGACACTTCTGCCAGGAATAATGCTTTTTATTTGATTTGATTGTAGCCCAGCAGCAATACTTGATAATTATTATTATATAGACTGATTGATCTTATGTTCTTACATAGTGTTTAGACTGTCTCACCCTCTGTCTGGAAATTTTAGTGATAAAATGGATGTGGTCTCTAATGGGGAGGGAGCTTGAGGGGAATTATACGGCGGTGGAATATTCTAACTAAAAATATGCTCTCTCTCAAGCTGTGCAGCAGTGATGTCCTGGCTGTATAGGATTCCTTGTCACTGGGACCCATTGAAACACAATAGTTATACTTGAAACAACCGTGGTTGCATTGGTAATACTGGTTAATACTTGTAAACTAGCACAGACATGTTAAGGGTTAAGATTTTTAGGTTTTATTTCAAGACAGATTAAGACAGATTCTAGGTAGAATCATCTAAAACAATGTTTCCATTGTTTGCCATTTCTCCTTAAAATTATTTTTAAAGGTCGTGAGAATAATCCTTTTACTACTCGATGTCATAAAATACAATTATTTGCAAAGCAGTCTAATAAGAGAGAAATTGGATTCTCTCTTCCTCAACCTGACACTTGCAATTTGTCATAATTGATATCATGGGTATGGCAGCCATCAGCCCAGCTTTTCTGGGGGGAGTTCTAATTTCAAAATATTAACCAGTCATTCAGATTTTTCTCATATTTATCAAATTATGTCAGTTTTGGGTTAAAAAAATACAGCGACTACTTATGATGGAATATATTCATTGTTGTTTTGCCAAGCTTTCTTTTTCATTAAAGGTTAAGTTTGATAGTAAATATTGAGAATTTATGAGAAAATTATCAGGAGATACTGTTTACCTGGTTATTGTGACATTTAGAAAATATATATTTTTTTTTATCCTCACCCGTGGACATTTTTTCTATTTTTTGTTCAGATAGAGTGTGGGAGGGAGAGAGAGAGAGAGAGAAACATCGACGTGAAAGGGACACATCGAGTGGCTGCCACCCGCACGACCAACCAGGGCCGGGGACAAACTGCAACCAAGGTACGTGCCCTTAGCGGGAACCGGACCCAGGTCTCTCAGGACCGCAGGCCGACGCTCTAACCGCTGAGCCAAACCGGCCAGGGCTAGGAAATATTTTTTTAAAAGATCATTCTCTTGACTTAAATTTTACATCAGCTGGAAGAATTTGGAGGCAGCATGTGCTTTGATTTAAGGTCACCGTCTCTGAGATCAAACAGTTTTGGATATAACCCCTGACATTACCAGTCTGTTTCCTCATCAGTGAAATGGGAATACTGATGGTCTCACCTCACTGGGTTGTCGAAAGAGTGCGTGAGACATGGGCACCGGATGAGCACCGCGTGCCTTTGGTTTTGCGACATTGAGCTTGGAACATCTCTAATAAGAACTACCTTTATGAAAACATTTCAGAAAGTCCAGTTTATCAGTTTATATTTAGAGTCTGTCATTTCCTCAAGGCAATATAAACATGCAAGTTTTAAAAATATGAAATGCTAGAAATCTTACCTGAAGGCCACATCTAAGCTAACTCCTTTTGATCTTAGTGAAATTGGGAACAGACCATAGCAGCCCAACAGGGAAATTAGGAAACAGAAAAACGCTCATTCCTCCTTGAGCAAGGAGATTAATAAATGTAGTGGTGTGTGTGTAGAGAGAGGTTGTACACATATTTATCCATACAATACTTTATAATAGATTTAAAGTTACTCACCTGGTTTCTTTTCCTCCAAATTTAATTTCTTTAAAAAAGAAACAAATGAAATGCATTCTTTAAAGCTGAACTAATGTACATTATTATCCAGCCTCGGGAATGGGTAATGATTCTTACGCAGTAGATAAAACCTAACCTAATTTTTAAAAATTCAGCCTCTTTAGTGGTGATGTGTTTTTGTGTTTCCATCCCTGTATGATACAGTAATGAGTGGGTAAAGCTTTGCGTCTAGAATATCTGTGGTGAACCTGTTTGACTTGAATGTAATCATCCCCTAGTCTTACCACGCAAAAGTAGGATTCGTTGCCAGCACCACACCTGTGAGGAGAAGTTCTGGAATGCACCTTGCTTACAGATAAAAGTGTTCCTCCATCCTTTAAAGTAAAGGCAGGAATGCTGTCAGCGAACAATATCCTTTTACCAGTCATTCCTGAAAAAGAAGAGTTATAATTTGAAAATGTAAAGATACCCTATTTTAGGACCTACAACTTGGAGGGTTTATATGAGGTGAAAAATGTAATGGTGGATTTTAAAGAAAATTGATACTAACAAATCATTCTAATATCCAGTTTTGTTTCCTTTGTTTTAAGAGAACCTAGGAAAAGATATGTCAGTTAGGAATGAGTATAAAGTTTTTAGAAAAGCAGATAGCAGGAGATGAAGTTAGAATAGTGGTATTGAAAATGAGCCCCTGTGAGTAGTTGCTAAGCTTTTATCTGTTACTGTGGTACTCACTAGATGGCCTTTTCTTAAAAAGATAAGATAAGAACTTCAGGTTTCTGGATTATTGTGTAACATTTCATTAATTTCTAGGTATCTGGTGACCCATCTCATGGGGGCAGATCTGAACAACATTGTGAAATGTCAGAAGCTTACGGATGACCACGTTCAGTTCCTTATCTACCAAATTCTCCGAGGTCTCAAGGTACAGACAATATAATATTAGTAATACTTTTGAGACATGAAATTCTCTCTCTACTTCTCTCTGTTCAGTTTAGGGCTTAAGGGGGGAAAAGCAAATAAAAAAAAAATTTCTTCTGGAAAATTTCAAACCCTTGCAAAATCACTAGTACAATCATAGTATAATGAACCCCTGTTTTACCCAATGACCACAATTACCAGCATATGGCCAGTCTTATTTCCCTTGTATTCCCCAAGCCCTGGATTATTGTAAGGCAAGTCTAGACATCATCTCATTCCACCCATAGATACTTCAGTGTGCATGTCAGAGAATGAAGGGCTCCTCATTATTACAACTAAACAGTAATAGTAATTTCTTGATATAATTTAATATCTGGTCAGAATCATGTTGAAACTTAAAAAATATCCCCAAGAAGGCTAATTTATTTGTGGGAGGGGCAAATAAACTGTGTTTAAAATTAAACCACTTTTACCCTGGCCAGTTTGGCTCGGCGGTTAGAGCGTCAGCCTGCGGTCCACAGAGACCTGGGTTCAGTTCCCGCTAAGGGCATGTACCTTGGCTGCATGTCCCCGGCTCTGGTTGGGTCATGCGGGTGGCAGCCACTCGATGTGTCCCTTTCACGTCGATGTTTCTCTTTCTCTCTTCCTCTCTCTCCCTCCCACTCTATATGAATAAAAAATGGAAAAATGTCCTGGGGTGAGGATAAAAAAAATTAAACTACTTTTGATATTTAGCAGCTTTTTAATTTTTAACTATTTTTTATTGTTTTTTTGTTTTGTTTTTTTCGGAGGGGCGGGAGAGAGAGAGAGAGAAACATCAGTGTGAGAGAGATACAATGAGTGGCTGCCTCCTGCACACTCCCTACTGGGGATTGAGCCCAAAACCCAGGCATGTGCCCTGACCAGGAATCGAACCAGGACCTCTCAGGCCATTGGATGACGCTCAGTCCACTGAGCCACACCCCTGGGCTAGCAGCTTTGAGTCCTCCTTGATTCCAGAGAACCAACGAAAAGTAGATTGTCTTTCATTCATACTTCAGCTCTGAGTAGAGTTGTTGGTATGGAAATCATAGTTATGATAAATGTATAAACTACTAATAATTACTTGTTCGGATTTCTGATCTCATTGATACTGGCAGTTCTCACTGACTCATGAAAATAACATCCAATAAATCCTGTAATGTAGTAGGAGCTTGGCAATGACTTTTTATTTAACTGACTTTTTTCCATTTCACAGTATATACATTCAGCCGACATAATTCACAGGGTATGTCTTACGTTTTTTATTAAATTATTTTGGGTAGCTGGGGGTATGTGTGGTGGCAGTGGGGGTAAGGTGGGGAGACTGTCATTTAGCCAAGATCCTAATCTAAGCTTATTTTAGCCATTGAAATATTGATTAATTACAACTTCAGGTTTAAACTGATTAAAGGAAGAAGATGTGTAATTTTTACCTATTTAGGCTAATTAGGACTAGATAGTGACTACAGAATGGAGAGTGTCTGTATATGGCCAGGGAAGTCTTAACGTTTATGTTCGGATCTCAGGAGAGAATTTACCATGCGTCACAAAGCTGATCCCGTCCTCTCTGTCCTTGCTTCCTAGGACCTGAAACCTAGTAATCTAGCTGTGAATGAAGACTGTGAGCTGAAGGTAAGGTGAAGAGACCCTGGGAAGTATTTGCTCCACCTTGTAATTACATGTTTGATGAACCAGGCAAATTTATGTTGGGAATGTTGTGTAAGCTATGACTTTGTATCTGAAAAGTCGTATTGCCTTAGGGATTATCAAACTTTGACATTTAAACCATAGACTTAGTAAGCTTAAGTTTTAAGTGACATTACAGGGGTCATCAGGTAGTTGTCCTGTTTTCATTCTAAAAAAACCTTATATTTGAAATTTAATTTATTAGTTATAATAAAAGATAATTATAGTCTGAATATCAAGTAAGCAATCCTAAAGAGATAATTATTAAATAGAAAAAAAATGGCAGAAACCTGTTCTTCAAAATAATTCAAATAAGAGATAAAAAAAATTGTCTATAAAGAACAAGCAGCTCTGGAAATTGTTTTATTTTGTTTCTTTTTTTTAAATAATTTTTTAATTTTTTAATTATAGTTGACATACAATATTATATTAGTTTCAAGTTTCAATTTTTACTCATTGTTTTTGAAACAATTTGCATATAAGAACATGCATCTTTTTTTTTTTTTGCATTTATCTTGAGATAGAGTGGGAGGGAGGGAGAGAGAGAGAGAAACATCAATGTGAGAGAGACACATCGAGTGGTTGCCACCCACACAACCCCAGCTGGGGCCAAGGACAAACTGCAACCGAGGCATGTGCTCTTAGCGGGAACTGAACCCGGGTCTCTCTGGTCCACAGGCCGATGCTCTAACTGCTGAGCCAAATCGGCCAGGGCAGAATGTGCATCATTTTAAGTGTACTTTTGACAAATGTATGTATCCATGTAACCACCAACTCAACTGTGATGAACATTTCCATTACCTCGGGAAGTTCCCTGTACCCCTTCCTAGGCAGTCCCTCTAATCGTGAATTTATCCTTTCTGGAATCATACTGTGTGTGTGTGTCTCTGACTTTTGCTTAGTATAGTATTTTTAGATTCATCTGTATTGGGGGTTTCGATAGTTCATTCCTTTTTTACTGCTGAGTGGTATCCATTTTATGAATATACCACAATTGTTCCGCCCATCTGGTGGTGGACATTAGCTTCAGTTCCTATCTGGGGCTGTGCAAAGCTGCTGTGAACATTCGGGTGTGAGCCTTTGAGTGGACATTCCTTTTCATTGCTCTTGGGTAAATACCTAGGAGTGGCATTCTTGTTTTGCTTTTTGTAATTTCATTTTTCAAAGTACTTGCTATGTTTACCATGCATTCTGAGCATAGGCTGGGAAGTATGTTTGTGGAAGTGCTATATCTCCCTTTTTATGAGGCACTAGGATTTTTTCCACCTGCTTCAGCACCTGATTTCTCTTGTTTCCCTTAGATCTTGGATTTTGGACTGGCTCGACATACAGATGATGAAATGACAGGCTATGTGGCCACTCGGTGGTACAGGGCTCCTGAGATCATGCTGAACTGGATGCATTACAACCAGACAGGTATTGCTTACGTTGGCTGGGAGGGCCTGTTAATGCCATCCTGGGTGTATTTGGGATTCTCAGCAGTAGGATGGTAGGAATAGGAGGAAACATCTTTTCCTCCTTCAGTGATCCTTTTAAAAGTCCACAGATAGGAAATATTTCAATTACTCGGATAAAGTGAAGTTTTAATGCACAGGTGTCAAACTTTGAGATTTTGCAATTTGATTTATTTAGATTTTTAACTTGTTCTCTGAGTATTTCTACCTGAAGACAATGGTTTATAATCTTAACCTCTCAATATTAGTTGGGAGAATCCACCATGTCTACCAGGAAGACACTTACACCCCTTTGTGCACAGCTTCTTTCTTGCCTTAATGATGTTTGGACTTACCTACCTATGAAGCCCGTTAGTGGGGCGAAGGTCGTAGTAAGCTTACTTACTTCTGTAGAAAGGAGTATGATTGTTTAACCTCAGGTGTCTTAAATATTAGTTCAGATGTTTCACCCCTAGTTATAGTGTCATTGATGGCCAAGTATGATCACAGTGACAATGTCTGCACTTTTCTTTTTAACTTTGCCAGTTGATATTTGGTCGGTGGGATGCATAATGGCCGAGCTGCTGACTGGAAGAACATTGTTTCCTGGTACAGACCGTATCCTTTGAAAGTTTTGGAATCTTGTTTTTTAACTGTACCCCAGTGTCTGGAAGTATATGACTTCACCTGTCTCTAGGGAAGCTTCCCGTGCTTTTGTAATCCTCATGTGCGTGACGGGTCTGCCCTCTTGCTGAGCATCTTGCCTTGGCAAGAAGGAGGCTTCGGTTTACTTCTGTGAGTTGGAAAAATTCCTCATCAGCTGGAAAACCCTTTAAAACTTTCACATGTCATCTTTTTGCAATGAGTTTAAGATATTAATATTCTGCAACCTGAGTGTATTCATGAGAAGCTCTAGCTCTCGATGACTGGTTTAGTCTGCTTGTACAAACACATCATGAGCACAAATACCCAGATTATAAATCAGGAGGGCCTCTTTTTATGGTCAGTTTACATTTTTAAAGGCTCTCTGTAGTCTCTGTAGTGATCTACTGGCTTGTTATGTCTGTTTAACAACAAATAATAAAAGCAAGAAGTAGTAAGGTCACCCTGTCATGTGCCTTTTTTTTTTTTTTTTTTAGCACACCTTAATTTTTATCCCAGATTGTAGCCAACCTAAATTTACTTCCAGATTAATTGTCTAGTTTGTGGTTTATTGTGGCCCCTTTATTTTGCCCCTTTCCTATCCGCTGCATGCCTATTTCACAGCTTAGTAATAATACTCTCCAAATGTGCTTTGTGGGAACTCCCATCGGTTTCACGTGGTGCAGATGTTTAGGTGAGAAAGAATGTGAAGTAATATAGGGATAGGTTTGAGGATTTTTATAAAGCTCATTCGACTAGCCTTTGGTGGGTTGGGCGGGCCTGCAGAGGGGCAGTGGTTACAGGTGCTGTCACACTTAGAGACCTAGAGCAGTTTGGGCCCCTGCCTGCAGCGAACTTTGATTTATAAACCAGAATGTCAGCTACTTGTTTACCGTTTGGGATCTGCTTCTATGGTGGCTCCTGTTTCTGTTATCTATCCACATAGTCTGTCTTCGTCCAGAGAGAGTGAACTTTCCTAATGAACTGAGGGCCTCTTCCCTCGGAAAGCTGTTTCTTGTCCTCTGAATATTTATGACTGGGTTGATGGAGCTGTCTTCCTACATTTAGCTCACCTTGTTGCTCCTGTCTCCAGGTTTGAAGTTAAATACCTGTGTTTCTCCTTTGTCTTTTGCTTCATTCACCTTATATCTGTTTCTGAGAAATTTGGTGTACACATTACAGTCCAGGCTTAGAGAACTGGGGAAAATTTGTATTTGTCCTTTTCCTCAGGTGCATGTCTCAGAGTCCCGTCTGTAGTCTGTCCTCCCGAGCACAACGCAGTCCTCTGCCCACCTCTCCTCTTCCTCCTGTGTGTCTCCGTCTACCTCCAGGTGGTCTGACACGCACACCTGCACAGACACAAGGTGGAGGGGGCGCTGCTGTGGAACCAGACTTCTGGGTTTAGGTCCGACCGCTCTCTCACTCCCAGCCGCGTGGCTCTGAGCGCGTTTCCTGATCGCTGTCTCTCGCTTTCCTGAACTATAAAATGCTGTTAGTAGTACAGACCTCACAAGGTGATGTGAGAATTCGGTGAGATAATATCTGGCAAGTGCATAGAACGGAACCTGCCAGGAAATGTTAGCCATTCTTCATTAACGATCCTGGGAAACAGTTTCTCCCTTCATCTTTGCACTCTGTTGTTTACCCATGAATCATTAAAGCATGACTTGGCTGTATTTAAATGTGTGACAGGTAGTAAAGGATGGAGCTTGGCAGGCTCCTGGTAGAAAGGTTTCAAAGCAGTTGTGCCCTGTGGGCCCACCTCAGAGACAGCTAATCCCTGATGGCTCCATCCTTTTCGAGGCTATCTTGCAGCCTGAGACCTCTTCCCTTTTATGCATACTTCCTCCCCTTCTGTGAGGTGTAGATAGAAAACCTAGCATTGAAACTTTTTACTAGGTGATTCTTTTTTTTTTTTAAATATGTTTTTATTGATTTTTTTAAGAGAGAGAGAAAAACATTGATGTGAGAGAGAAACATCAGTCAGCTGTCTCCTGCACGCCTCCTACTAGGGATTGAGCCCAAAACCCCGGGCTTGTGCCCTGACCGGGAAGCAAACTGGGACCTCTCAGTACGTGGGACCATGCTCAATCCACTAAGCCACACTGGCCGGGTTAGGTAATTCTTTTTTTTTTTTAGTATCTTTTCTTTATTGATTTTTGGAGAGAGAGATAAAAACCTTTGGAGAATGTGCTGGCCCCTCTCACTCTTCTTCCTCTGCTGCTACTGCCTGTGAGGACTTCCAAGTGTGGCTGATGCCGGGGTACCCTCTAGAGCATGCTCTTTTGAGTGCACTTTTCCTCATTTACTAATCAGCTTGCATTTGGAGCTTGTGGTTTCAGCTTCTAGATGAGAACTACGTCATAGACCTTTCTGTGGTGTAAATGTTTGTACCTTTGCTGTCCACTGTGGTGATTGGTAGCCACTAGCCATGTGTCGCCAGTGAACACTTAAACTGGCTGGTGAAACTTAGCAACAGAATTTAAAATATGTTCATGGTAAAATGTATTAACATAAAATTTACTATTTTAACATTTTTGTGGTAAAAATAAGCATGACATAAAATTTACCATTATAGCCATTTTTAAGTATATAATGCAGTGGTACAAATTATGTTCACAAAGTTGTGCAACATCACCACTATTTCCAAAACATTTCATCACCGCAAACAGAAACTCTGTACCCGTTCTTCCTCCCACAGCCTTTGGTTACCTCTCTCCTTGCTTTCCTTCTCTATGAATTTGCTTATTCTTGATATTTTATATAAGTGGAATTACACTCTGTTTGTCCTTTTGTGTCTGGATTATTTCACTTAGCATGTTTTCCGTGTTGTAGCCTGTATCAGAAATCTGTCCCTCTTTATGGCTGAATACTATTCCATTATATGTATAGACCATATTTTTAATCCATTCATAGACACGGGTTGTTTCCAGCTTTTTGGCTATTGTGAATAGTGCTACAGTGAACATTGGCAGGCAAGTATCTGTTTGAATCCCCACTTCCAAGTGTTTTGGGTATATACCTAGGAATAGAATTGTTGAGTTATACGGTAATTCTGTGTTTAGCTTTCTTAGGAGCTGCTAAACTATTTTCCACAGCAGCTGCACTATTTTACTTGCCCACCAGTGAAACGTGAACAATTTCTCCACATCTTATCTCTACCAATACTTTTCTTCTTTTTCCTTTTCTCTCTCTCTTTCTACCTCTCCCTATCCGTCCCTCCCATCCTACTATAGTCACCCCAGTAGGTGTGAAGTGGTATCTCTATGTGGTTTTGATTTGCATTTCCCTAATGACTAATAATGTTGAGTATTTTCTCCTGCGTTTACTGGTCGTGTGTGTGTGTGTGTGTGTGTGTGTGTGTGTGTGTATCTTTTTTGAGCAATATATATCAAGTCTTTTACCCATCTTTTAATTGGGTCATCTTTTTGTTGTTGAGTTTTAGGAGTTCTTTGTGTATTCTGGATATTAAACCTTCATTAGCTATATGATTTGCAAATATTTTCTCCCATTCTGTGGACTGTCTATTCACTTTCTTTTTGCAAAATCCTCACCCAAGGATCTGTTTATTGATTTTTAGAGAGGGTTGGTTAGAGAAACATTGATGTGAGAGAGATACAGATCAGTTGCCTTCCATATGGGCCCTGTGACCAGGGATCAAACCCTCAACCTTTTGGTGCATAGGATGACACTCCAACCAACTGAGCCACCCGTCCAGGGCTATTCACTTTCTTGATGTTGTCCTTTGATACACAGAAGCTTTAATTTTAATGAGGTTTCGATTTATCTGTGTTTTCTTTTGTTGCTCCTGCTTTTGCTGTCATCTCAGAATGTATTACCAAATTTAATGTCGTGAAGATTTACTATTTTCTACTAAGAATTTTATGGGTTTATCTGTTAGGTCTTTTATCCGTTTTGAGTTAATTTTTTATATGATGTGAGGTTAGGGGTCCAGTTTTATCTTTTGCATGTGGAAATTCAGTTGTTCCTAGGACTGTCTGTTGAAGAGACTGTCTTTCCTCCATTCGATAGGCTTGGCACTCCTGTGAGTGATCAGTTCTATGCTATTGGTCTACATATTCGTCCTGATAGCAGTGCCACACTGTTTTGATTACTGTAGTTTTATGGTAAGTTTTGAAATCAGGAAGTATGACTCATTCACCCTTGTTCTCATTTTCAATTTTTTTTTTCTTTTTGGGCTTTTTGAGGATATGTTTTTCCATTTCTGCAAAAAAGGTGTTAGAATTTTGAAAGCAATTGCATTGAATTTTTTTTATCACTTTGGGTAATATTAACATCTCAGTAACATTAAGTATTCTTATCCAGGAACAGGTGAGGTCTTTCCATTTATTTAGGTCTTCTCTCATTTCTTTCAGGGATGTTTTATAATTTTCAGTGGAAAAGTCTCTCAAACTCCTGGGTTAAATTTATTCTTAGGTATTTTACTCTTTTAGATGCTATTGTACATGGAATGTTTTCCTTATTCCCTTTTTGCTTTGTTCATTCTTGCTGTGTAGAAATACAGCTGGTTTTTGTTTGTTACTCTTGTGCTCTGCAACTTTGCTCGGTCTGTTTGTTAGCTCTGGTAGTTTTCTTGTGGATGCTTTGGTTTCTTCTGTATATAAGATCATGTCATCTGTGAAGAGATAGTTTTACTTTTTCAATTTCATTTTAGATGCTTTTTGTCCTCTCATCTAATTGCTCTGCTAGAACTTCCAAATATAGTGTTGAATAGCAGTAGTGAAAGTGGTCATCCTTGTTCTCTTCTTATCTTAGAGGGAAAACTTGTAGTCTTTCACTGCTAAGTATGATTTTAACTGCATTTTTCACGAATGCTTTTTATCATGTCAAGGAAGCTCTCTTCTAGTCATAGTTTTGTTTTATTTTGAATCCTCACCCGAGGATATGTTTTATTGATTTTAGAGAGAGGGGAAGAGAGAGACAGAGAGAGAGAGACAGAGAGAGAGAGACATCAG